ACGCCACGGCAGCAACCAACAGACGAGGAGTGGCGCAGGGATGAGTGGTGGCGCACCAAGGAGGGCGAGGAGCGCGAGTGGCAACAGCCGAGCGGCGAGGCTTCCTCGCTGCAGGACCGCATGGTCGACTCCGCCTGGCGCGACATGCAAGTTGCATTCGGCAGCGACCAACGCCCCAGTGACTGGTGGAGCAGCCACAGTGGGTGGAGTAGCGGCCAGGGGCACTGGGAGGTCGCGACCACGACTTGGAGGTGGGTCGAACCCCCCCCCGAAACCAATCCCTGGGAAAAGCTTAGTTGAACCATCGCACAGGAGCCGCCCCTCCGCAGCAGCGGAGGGAGGCCTCATCGGCCGAACGTCGACCCTCCGCAGCAGCGGAGGCCTTGCCAATGCATCGTGAGCGGCGGCGACTCGCGCGCGCCGTCGTGCTCGGCGACCGCTGCCCGAGCGGAGAAGGAAAAAGAAATCGGTGCTTTCATCGGTGCTGTCGTTGCCTCCTCTCCTTCATCGTTTTCTTCTCCCTCCCCCTCCAATCCCCCATCCCGCTATCGCATTTTATCGTCTCCAATCGTATCGGGAGCTCCCGTGGCAGAAGAGCACCCAGAACGAGGTCCTCCGTGACAGAGGGGGGGCATCTGGGAACCCCTCTGTGACAGAGGGGGGGCATATTTGACCCCCTCTGTGACAGAGGGGGGGCCAAAAAACAAATGATCACTTTAATGCGGCTTCTGGATTAGCCCAATAGCCCAATAGCCCAGTAGCCCAGTAGCCCTATAGCCCTATAGCCCTATGGCCCTATAGGTCACAGTCCTATAGCCCTATGCCCTATAGCCCGATAGCCTTACCCCCCTAATAGCCCGATAGCCCTATAGCCCTATAGCCCTATAAGGGAGCAATTGGAAGATTGACAAAAATCTGATTGGGGTTTTTCTCCAGTATCATTTTCAAGACGGAGGACGTCGGGGGCGCCAAACGGGCGCTTTGCTCGAGACATCCCCACAGTCTCTCGCCGCGAACGGGCCAGTGGACCCCTCCCTGGCTCCTCTTCCCTGGGGCTCCCAGGTGCTATGTCTAGTCTCTCGCTGTGATCGCGAGGCTCTCAAAGGAGGAGGAGGAGGAGGAGGACGAGGAGGAGGAGGAGGAGGAAGAGGAGGAGGAGAAGGAGGAGGAGGGGGGGGGAGGAGGAGGAGGAGGAGGAGCAGAGGAGTCGGCGCCCCCGCTCGAGACATCCTCATGATCGGGCCGCGAACGGGCAAGCGCTCTACCCCCTGGCGGCTCCCGCTTGAGGTGCCCAGATGCCACGCCTGCTGCATTGCGGTGGCCACGGGGCTCACAAAGCAGAGGGGTCGGCGACGCCAAGCGGGCACCTCGCTCGCAGCACCCCACAATCTGACCGCCAACGGGCCGGAGTCCTGCCCCCTCGGCGGCGCCTCCTTGGGGTGCCCGAGTGCCGCGCCTGCTGCGGCGATCATGGACGGGTTCGTTTACGAGGAGTGAGTATGGGTGGGTTTGAGTTCGAGTGACAGGGTGCCAGTAATGTGTGGCTAAGAGTGTATATGAGTGTGTGGTCTGAGTGCGCGAGCCCGAGTGTGAGTGGGTCTGAGGTGTGAGTGGGTCTTAATATTGAGTGTCTGAGAATCGAGTGAGTCTGAGTTTTGAGTGAGTCTGTGCAAGACTACGTAATCGGTCGGAAAGATGCCTGATCGTGTTTGCGTAAGTCTCGGTTTAATTATGCTGAACACGCATGGACCTGGATATGACAATGTTGAGCTGAGTCTGAGTTTCGCGATGGGTGCGGGTGAGTGAGCATCTTCTGAGCGCTGGGTCAGGGTGGGGGAGGGGTTTCGACCCCCCCCCCCTTTCAAATGTCAGGACGGGGGGGGGCTTCGACCCCTTCTCGTTTCCCCTCCGTCTTTCAAGGGAAAGTCGTGGGGGGCGTCAACCTTCCCCCCCTTTTCGGCGATGGCGACGAGCGACGACGACGACGACGACGACGACGAAGACGACTACGACGATGACGGCGTGTCCCGCCCATCCGCCCGACCGACTCGCCCACGACGACCTCGATAGTTGCCCCAAATTGGTTGTGATTCCGATGAGTGTCCCGTGATGGCCCCGTGGTCCTCCCAGTGGTTGTCCCGTGGTTGTCCCCCTTGTTGTCCCGCTGGTTGTCGTGCTGGTTGTCTCGTGGTCGTTCTGTGGCTGTTCGGTGTTTTGGTCCCGTGTTGTCCCGTGGTTGCCCCGCAGTTGTCCTGTGGTTGTCCCGTGGTTGTCCCGTGGTCGTTCCGTGGTTGTCTCGTGGAAGTGCCGTGGCTGGTTTGCGATTGCTCCTCGTTGGTCCCGTGGTTGTCCTTTGGTGACCCAGCGGTGGTGTTGCTGTCGGTCCCGCTGTTGTCACGACGTTTTTCCACGGTTGTCCTGTGGGTGCCCCGATGGTTGTCTTGTGATTGTCTTGTTGTTGCTCCGTGGTTATTCCGTAGTTTTCTCGTGGTTGGTACGTGGTTGTCCCGTGGTTGCCTTGCGGCTTTCGTGTGCTTGTCTTGTTGGTTGACCCGCTGTTGTCCTGTAGGTCTTTAGTGGTCATCCCGTGGTTTTCCCGTTGTTATTGTGCACTTGCCCCGGAGTTGTCACGTGGTTGTCCCGTGGCGTATGACCGACCTCCGATAGTTCATATCCATATTTTGACGAATACAGCGGTATTGGCATCGGTTAACGTATCGATATCGATACATATTATTTGATAGTGGGGCCGATAATAAGTTATATCGATATCTGGATCGTGGTAACGATAGTTCGTAAGATCGACGGGTAATGTGACCGATCGGTAGACAGTGGTGTCGCTAGATCTATCGCGAGATCGTTGCAAACATGTACATTGTGTTAGCCAGTGTGGACCCCAAGGGGTGTCTTCCTAGCAATGTATGTTGTGCATAAGCTGTGGCGCAATCTAGGTGGTGCAGAATATGGTGTGCCTGCTACGCGTTGGGCAATTCAGGTGGTGCAAACTATCAATTTGTAATGCAATCTATGTGTTGTGCAACCTATGCGTTGTTTGGTTATGAAGTTGTGCACAGTCTGTGTGGTGCAACGTATGTTGTGCAGTCGACGTTATGCAATATTTGTCGCGCAATCTATCTGGTGCAATGTGTAAACTGTAATCTAAGTGGTGGAATCCACGTGGTGCAATATACGTGGTGAAAGTCAGCCTGTTCGCGCAATCATCCACTGCTCGCGCAATCATCCCACTCACCTGCCCGCAACTTGGTTTTCAAAACGGCGGCGGTTGCGATGACTGCTTGGTGCTGGCTGACACATCGCTGCGGCCACGCTAGCGCGAGCAGGCTCGTGCGCAGAGCGGCCAGCTGGTCCCTGGCGCGATCGACGCGGCCGCGGTGGCGCTGACCGGTGGACACTTCCCAGTGCGTCTCGCAGGCCGCGCTGACGCGCGGGCACTTCAGTGCGAGTCGTTGGTTCGGGCGGACGCGGTATCACGGCGGCGTCGACAACGGCAGACATTTTGATGATAGTGGCGATGCTGGTGGCGATGGTGACAATGTCGTCGGCAAGGCCAACGACGGCGCAGGTGCTGTTATGCCGATGACGATGATGGTGTCCACAGGTTGGTGATGAAGTATTTGGAATGGTTTCGACGCGCGCGCGGCCGACGTGCGCGAGTGGCTCGCATGGTGTGATTTGACAAGGATCGCCCCCCACCACCCCCCAAGATGCGCGCACGATAGAAGCTGTTTGGTCGCACGAGATGAACGCGTCGAAAACCAGATGTTTCACATTTTTTCATCAAACAGCTATGTTTTCGCAAAAGCGCGGATACGCATTTTTTTAGAAAGGCCATGTTGAACACCACGTTTGTGTTTTGTATATGTTTCGGGCTATCCGTTTTTGAATTCTTTGTGAAACCTGAGCTCTTGAAGAATTTTGGCATGCGCGCGCGACAACGCGCGCGTGTGCGTTCCGCCTATTGTTTTGCGATTAGTTCTTGCAGACGGATATTGTTCGATAGACGAGTGTGCGTTCATAGTGTTCTTTGACGATGATGATGGGGGGGGGTTGGCTTAGCTGGAATGGTATGAGTAAGTCATACTCGGAATGAGCAACGGGGCGGCGTTGTATGTAAATTGCACATTTCCACGGTGGCCTGACAATCCCAGGGGGGCGATAGGTCTTCATTTTTTCAGAGGAGAGCGAAGTTTTGGCGGCGACGGGGCGGCGACGGCGGCAACATATCCGCCATACTTGCAGACAGGCCCAGACGACGGGCGGTGACGAGGCGGCTGCAGACCAGCAGACAGGCCCAGACGACGGGCGATTCCTCAGAGCAGAAGTACTGACGCCTCAGTGCAAGCATTTTTTTGAATCTACGTATATCTGTATATGTGTGTAAGGAAGCGCCAGAAGCCCGAAAACGAGAGAAGTATGCAAGCATACCAACCAGTGTACAGGAAAGTGGTAGCCTTTTGCGTCTCAGGCTCTCTTGGGGCGATCTGGGGGGGCCCTGGTGGGCCTTCTTGGGGCCATCGTAGGCGTTCTGGAGCGCTCTGTGGCCGTCTCGGGGTCCTCTTGGGCCGTCTTCGGGGCCTCGGGGGACCGCCGCCGGCCACTTGGCACGGCTCGGCAGATGTTCCAGAAGTCTGGAGATCTTGGGTGACCTTGTGTAGGGGCCAGGGATCTGGGGGTTCCGTTTTTGCGGGGACGCATTTCTCGTTCTGGCGCACATCGCAATCCGAAAACTGCACCCATCCCCCCTCGGCTTCCTTCTCTCCCCAACGGTGGCCTTACAGGTATTCCCGCCCAGATGTGTAGTTCGTTTTGCTTGCTGCTCTGTGGGATTGATTCCTCTTCTAGGTGTATGTTTCTGCTTGCTGTTCTCGAACACCATGGCGAAGATCTCGAGGCCCGAAGATGTGGCAGTCCAGAGCAAGAAGGAGGCGCTCCTCGCGTTCATGAAGCGTTTCTTGCTCATCGTCGCCCTCGCCGTTGCAATGATGTACACTTCGCTGTACGTGTCCGGTGCCGCTGCGAAGCTGGGGTCCGCAATGCTGGCCTTGACGTGTATCGCGTTCTTCGTCATGCTCCTGTGGCTGTCCTGGGAGGTGGATGGGCATTCCCTCGACGAGATGAAGGATGAGACGCCACTGATGAAGAACGTCATCTCCATTCTGCAGTCTAATTGGGTGAAGGCGGTCGCTGTTGGAGGCATGAATGTCGTGATCCCCTTTCTCGTAATTCTTGATCAGGTCTGGAGAAGAACAACCATACAGGTCCACCATGTCCATCCCCCACACATGTCCCAGGAAGGAGGAACGCAATCAGAGGAAGGGGAGGGACGGTAAGGGGGCAACAGATAAACCCTTTCGTGTTCGACCCCTTGTTCGTACCCCCCCCCCCTCCCCCCATATTCAAAATTGGGTCGGGCCTAGCGGAGGCCCTGGGGGTTCCACTTCCTTTGTCCCCTCACGCTTTTTCTGCGGAATGCATGGGTTCAACTTTGAATCTGCAGGGAGGGGGGTGGCAGAGTGAAGGGTTCCACTTTTTGCGTCCATTTGCGGGAGGAGGAAGACGGTGGATCTGCGCATCTGCTCGACTCCGGGGACAGGTGCGCCAGCAGGTGCGGAAGAGCTGCACCAATTACTACGGCGGGGAGGGCGCGAGCGAGGGGAGCGCCCACTGGCAGACGCCGTCCGGCAGGCGGCTGCGGGAGTGCCTGGAGAAGTGGGACTGGACAGACATCTTTGGCAAGGTCTGCGTGCTGGCAGAAATATTCATCCTGCTAGCGGTCGGCTCGAAGGCAACATTCATCTTCTTCTCCTACCTGAACGGGGAGATCGAGGCGGCGGGTCTAGAGATAGGCGCCATCTTCGCGATGGTGTGGGCAATCGGGCTGTTGATGTTCTTGAACCCCATCGTCCCTGGGAGTGCGGTCTATCTGTTTGCTGGTGTCGTGCTGGGAGCGCAGTCACAGAAAGAGGGTTCCGTCGGCATTTGGGTCGGCCTGGTGCTGGCATGCGTTGCGGGAAGCGGGGCGAAGTTATTGGCGTGCATTGGCCAGTATTCGCTCGGCTACTTTATGGGCAAATCTGTGAAAGTGCAGCATTTCGTTGGCGTAACCAAGGTGGGCGTCTTGGCGACGGAGGCGGTGCTCAAGGAGGAGGGGTTCAAGCTGTTCAAGGTTTGCATATTGGTGGCGGGCCCTGACTTCCCAACGAGCGTACTCTGCGGCATACTCCAGCTGAACATTCCTGGGATGCTTCTTGGCACATGTCCAGTCATCCTGGTGAGCGTCATCCCACAAACCCTCGTGGGGGTGCTGTTAACCAAGGAGGGCGCCACCGAAGGAGTGTGGAGCATGATCGCCACTGTAGCCACAGGGATTGCTGCTGCTTGTCAGGTAGGCGCCACTCTTCTCTTCGCATACGGCATAATGCAGCGAGTCGAGGAATCGGGGGATCAGCTTCTCGAAACGCATCGGCCAGAGCATGACGAGGTACGGAAGCTGGAACAGAAGGAAGCTGAGTACGTGAAGAAGTACGCTGAGATTTCCAACTGGGGGCAACTAGGCAATCTTCTCTCACTTCTCCTCGTCCTCTTCATGTTTGTGGTCGTCGTCGTCCTCCTCCTCCTTATCCTCCTAGGCACGCATGTGCGCGCGACACTTCTGGGGACAGTGGCGCTGTTCTTGCTCTCCGGCTTCATCGTTGCCCTCGACAGTATGGCGACAAAGGAAGAGGAGCAGGAGCAGGAGGAAACGCATGATGATGATGATGATGATGATGATGATGATGGTGATGATGGTGATGATGGTGATGATGATGAATGTGGTGGTGATGACGATGGTGGTGGTGATGATGATAATGGTGGTGGTGGTGATGATGCTGCCGATGGATGCTGATGATGATGCAGGTGGTGATGATGGTGGGGATAATGATGATTTCGGTAATGATGATGATGCTGATGCTGATGACGATAGTAATGATGATGACGATGATGATGCTGATGCAGATGATTATGCTGATGATGCTGCTTCTGATGATGATGTAAATTGCGATAATGATGTTGCTGATGATGATGACGATGATGCGGATGTTGATGGTTATGATGATGATGCTGGTGATTCTGATAAGGATGATGTCAATGGTGATGGTGATGGTGACGGTGATGATGATGATGATGATGATGATGATGATGATGATGATGATGATGATGATGATGATGGTGCCGATGATGGCGATAATGATGCCGATGATGATGATGATGATGATGATGATGATGATGATGCTGATGATGCTGATGATGATGATGATGATTATGATTCTTATTATGATGATGCTGCTGACGATGGTGATGCTGCAGATTGTGATGATTTTGTTTTTGATGCTGATGCTGATGCTGATGCTGATGCTGATGCTGATATGATGCTGATGCTGATGCTGATGCTGATGCTGCTGATGCTGGTGCTGATGCTGCTAATGATGATGCTGCTGATCATGATGATGATGATACTGATGATGATGCTGATGATGCTGATGCTGATGCTGCCTCTGCCTCTGATGATGATGATGATGATGATGATGATGATGATGATGATGATGATGATGATGACGAGGATGATGATCTCGATGATGATGGTGATCTGGATGTTGATGTCACGAGGAGGAGGAGGAGGAAGAAGAGGAGGAGGAGGAGGAGGAGGAGTAGACGAAGAAGGAGGAGGAGGACGAGGAGGAGGAGGAGGAAGTGTACGAGGAGGAGGAGGAAGAGGAGGAGGAGGACGAGGAGGAGGAGGAGGAGGAGGAGGAGGAGGAGCGGCGATGGCAGCTGCAGGCGACGGAGAAGATATGCTTTCGAGAGTTCTACATCACGGACTCTAGGGGGCGCCAATTCATTATCCGCCGAAGCCAATCCTGGCCGGGCCGGTCCGGGGGCCCAGGGTGGGCCTGGGCAGGATCGGTGCAGGAGTACACCCTCAGATCTGGGTGTTGCATTTTTTTCACAACTGGCGATTTCGGTCGTTTCTGGGACCCTCACAGAGATCTGGCTCGGAAAATGGCTCAGAAAGATGTGGTCTAGAGCTCCAGTCGTGATTTTTCGCGACGCTGCATCCATTTTCAATGTCGGATCTGAGAGCAGTTGACGTCCTCCCAGGACAACATCAAGAGCAGCTACGACCTGGGCGGTCTGAACGGGAGCGCGCTCAACGTGGTACTCGCGCCGATGGGCTGGATCGCCCTCGGACTCGCGGCCACTGCGGTCGTGCTCCACGTCGTGTTAGGGCAGTGGTTGGCGGCCTCGACACGAGCCGCTCTGAGGGGGCCCGAGCATAATCAGGCGTCGCCGTCAGATAGAGCCACCGGCTGAGCTTGCTTCGCTGCGCCTACTTTCTCGTCATCGTCCTCCCCTCCCTCCTTGCATTCCTCCTTCCTCCCTTCCTCCGTCCCTGCCTCCCTTCTTCTCTCCCTCCCTCCCTCCCTCCCTCCCTGCCTCGCGCCCTCCCTCCCTCACGCGCCCCTCCTCCTTTCTCCTCCTTCCTTCTTGTCCTTGCTCCTCCTCTCCCTCCCTTCTTCTTCCTCCCTCTCCTGTTCCTCCCTTCTCGCCCTCGTTGTCGTCGTCGTCCTACTCCCTCACTGACGCTACCTGTGCTCTACCGTCACTGCCTGAACCCCCTGCCGGCTCCTTCGCTTCCCGGCCACGCGCCCAATTCCTCTTGCACTGGCGGCCCGACTGAGCGGCGTGTCGGAGCGGGGCACGCTCTGCGCGATATGGGCGTTCCCTTGGGGCGGTCTGTCGAACCCCGCGCAAAAAACATCCAAAACAAGCTTTGGAGCATGTGTATTCTTGCTGACATGGTTTCGTACAGATATTGGATTCCAAAGTTGTTTGGCCACACTTCAGTACGGAAGTGTTTGTCCACACTGCAGTTTCATGAACGCTTTTGCCACCAGCCGCCAGAAAGTGTCCCCGCTGGATATTTATTCGACTCGTGAGTTGGGTATCAACACTGCCGTTAGGGATCACCATGACATCCTTGATGACATGCTTGCGACCCTGTTGGCGACGTCGTGCTGCGCCCGTAGCGAAGACTCCTTCCTCAAGATGTGTTTTGTAATGTTCGTATCGGCTCCCCCACAAACCTCCGCCGAGGTCTCGTCTGGTTTGTAGCGAATACCTTTTGGTCAAGGTCGGCTACGTGCATCGCGGGTGGTGGTCGAGATCTGTTGGGAGTATTTCGGAAAGCTCTGAGAGCCGGGGCACTGGGTCCACGAGCTCTTCATGTGTCGATCGGCTGGCTTCCTGGTGCCAGCCCATCTGAAGTCAACACCGGGGCTGCGTGGCTCAACTCCCCTCTTCGCACGAGTGCGAGATCAGTCGACATGTATTTCGTGTCAGTTGCGCCCTCGTCCTTCGCGTTTTGTCGAGGCTGTTGTAGTCGCCTTTGGGTTCTGGTACTATTCCATCCGAAGATCTCTCCGAAGGGGGGGGGAGGAGGGCAGGAGGAGGAGGAGGAGGAGACGGAGGGGGAGGACGAGCCAAGCCCGAGTAGGAGGAGGAGGAGGAGGAGGAGGAGGAGGAGGAGGAGGAGGAGGAGGAGGAGACGGAGGAGGAGGAGACGGAGGAGACTGAGGAGGAAAAGAAGGAATAGGAGGAGGAGGAGGAGGAGGAGGAGGAGGGTTCAGATGTCGGAAAGAGCGTGTCCTCCGTGGGCAGGGGAGCGCAAATGCATATGCGAGGCGGCAAGGGGAGCACTCTCCAAGCTCGTGTGCCGTTCCCTTCCGCACTGGCTTCCCGCTCCTAGCGTTGGAGGAGGAGGAGGAGGAGGAGGAGGAGGAGGAGGAGGAGGAGGAGGAGGAGGAGGAGGAGGAGGAGGAGGAGGAGAGTGATGATCAGGAGGAGGAGGAGGGGGAGGAGGAGGAGGAGGAAGCGGGCGAGCAGAAAGGCCAGAGGCCTGTGAGTGCCAATCGCCCATCTACTGGGCAGCCCCGCCCGCGGCGACCCAGGACCAGGTTTGCGTCAGAGTACGTAGGAAAGGGCCTCCGATGCATTTCGATATTGTCTTCGATGTTCGCACGCTGACGTTGATCTCCTCCCGGGTGTGTGCTTCGTCAATGTGGCCCCATTCATTTGGAAGCCTGGCGATGCCATGGCGAACTCCTCGATAGGTAGCTAGTTGTCCATGGTGCTGTGGGAGTGGAGGTCTTTCTATGTTTGGGGCATCGCGGCGCGGAGATGGCCGGGCGGACCTGTGAGGACCTGCTGGTGTGCCTGGAGAGCGTGGGCGACTTGATTCAGAGGCGCCTCCGTGCGGCTGCTATCGAATGCACATTGAACGATTTACCATCAAAATTCCATTGCTTAGAAATAGCATGGCCGCGCCGCAGCTCAATCGTCTGCTGCGGGCGTTTTTTCCCGCAAGAAATCGCGCATTGCGGCGCAGACGCGCGGCGCCAAATTGCGATCGTCTTCTGGAAGCTCATCGGGATAGCTGGACGCGCAGGAAAACGCGCAGAGAGAACACGTAGGGGGGGGCAACAAAAAAACGCCCTGGATCAACTTCGTAAATTGTAACAGAATTCCCGCGCACGCCGAACAACGGATCACCCTCGTGGAGTGGGCGCGCGCACGACAGCTCCACGCTGCCAACCTCGTGCGTGGTGGGTGGGGGGGTGGGGCGTGCGGTGTGTGTGTGTGCGTGCGTGCGTGTGTGTGTGTGTGTGTGTGTGTGTGTGTGTGCGTGTGCGTGTGCGTGTGTGTGTGTGTGTGCTTGTGTGCTTGTGTGTGTGTGTGCGTGCGTGCGTGCGTGCGTGCGTGTGTGTGGAGGATCTACACTGGCCGCGATAAAACGCGCCGCAACAACAGGTGAACCAAGGCGAGACAATCCGCATCTGTGAAAAACGTGCGCGGGCATTTGGGGGTCGGCATGTTCTCTGAACAATTTGATCCGCGCGGGCGCTCTGAGATGGCAGCGAACCTTTGCGGGGGGCTTGGCGCTGGGCGGAGAAAAGAAATATCTCAATCGTTTCGGGGTATGTCTTTGCCGAGATGCGCGTGATAATTCCACGTAGGAATGTGAAGCGCGCATTCGCGCGCATTCCCATGCCGATTCCTCCGCGAGACGAGTGGCGCCTGCACTTGGTTGTCGGGGGGTTGAACTTCGCATGTATTATTTGAATGTTCTCGATGACCCGCGGACGCTGTCGCGCCCTGCTGGGCGCTAAAATGAAGAACGCAATTGATGCGATTGCGCGGGCGGCGGGCTGTGTTAGGAAATAATTGCCACTGTCGCTTCGCACCTGCGCTCCAATCTGCCTGCCACCCACCTGGAAACGCCGCGATGTTTGGGCTTGAAATCGTTTGATCCAGAACGTTTCTCTTCGAGCGGTCGCGGCTCATCCCCCCGTTCCTCTCCCCGTCCTTTTGGCCTGCATTTTTGCATTCGCTGCGCCGCCGTTCGCGAGCAATGCCTCTGCGCGACTCTTGTTTCCTCGCCGCGCTAGTTTTGTTCAAAAATCGCCGCGCGCTGCGCTTGCGGCACAGACTAAAAAGAAGGCCTCGACCTGACCACTTCCCGACTCTCGCCTATGTCGAGCGCCCCGGCACCTGGGTCTCCGACCGCGGCGCAAAACGCCCTGGCCCGCGCGGGCAGTCGCATTGGCGAACCTCCGGGGGTATCCCGGATAGTGGGCGCGCGTGGTTGCGATCGTGGTGCGATTGTTTACCTCGGCGAAAAACTGCAGCGAAATTTCGTCACTCCACCTTGTGGTCGGGAAAGCAAGAGGTCAATGCATGGCCCGCCAGCAACGCGCTGGGCAAAATCCACCGCCGCAAAACAAGGGCGGCTCATCCCAGGACGATCTCTGTTCCCGGGTTCGGGCCCCATTCCACATGGAAATGGAC